GCATGTCTGCCGTAGACCAGCTACGTCGATTTCCACTCTCGTCTCCGCGAAGCCAGTTGCCAAACTGTGGATGGCATCGAACAGGCTGCGAGCGATGCCACAATGGCCAAGCGGGGCATTCGCAAAGATCAGCGCCAGCTTCTGTGGGGGAATCGGCATGCTGCAAATCGATGCGTCCGCCGTTGCCTTCACATACTTCAGCGCCTTGTTGACCTCCAAAAGGTCTTCAATGGTCAGGTCGTCTCGGGACATCTCCTTTGCCCCAGCTAGCCACTGAAAGTGACCCAATACCCGACCTGAACTCCGAGTGCAGCTTGGGTCCGTGTTCAACTTGGTGCCCTCGCAAGCTTTTGCCTTCGTGAGGATCATGTCCTTGATGTAGCGGGCCTGGTTTTGTGTGATCTTGCCATCGGGCCATCGCTTGATTCGGCGGCCCACAAAGACAAACTCATCTTTCTCGGGGCTTCCCCATATGAAGCTGCTCTCCACCGCCTTGAGTTGCTCGGCAGCTTCGTCCTTGACGCCTGTGCGAGCAAGGATTCAGGGAGTGTCTCTCCTAACCCAACCGGGTGGCCTGTCCGTATACCGGGGTGCTCAGCTTGTAAGCGCCGATTTGTTCCAAGCCGGAACTGCCGTTGTTGCCAGAGGATATTTTGGCGCGTCCCTGAAGGAAGGCTGATTTGGAGCTTGAAGCTAGAGCGCCACTGCAGCAGGCATGTCAGCCCCAGCCTCCTGGCGCGTCTCGAGCTAGTAGAGGAAGATGCGGGTCACGGAAACCTTGCGCCACCACTTTGCTTTGTGTCGTGCCCCTCCATCCAGCGGTTTCCACCGATAACACAAACGCGATGGAAGGATGAGCTTCTTCTCAAGGCCGGGTGGGGTCTTCCGGCGCCTCCTCGCACGAACTCCACTTTTGACACTCGGCCCATTCCGCCTTAGCCGCCTCAGTGAAAGCCGGCCAGTCGGCGTGAGGGATGCTCTTCCAAGCAGCCCGTTTTGCCGCAGCGTCGCATCGTCCTCGTCAAAGGTGTCCTCCTTCTCCTTGCTGATGGCGATGTGGGTTGCCCATGATGAACAAGTCGACATAGTCAGTGCCTTGATCGTCGCCACCCTCTTCGATGAGCTCGTGGTAGAGGTAGTACAGCGAATAGCTCTCCTTCCGACGAAACATCGGCTGCCACTCTTAGGGGGCCACCGTCCCAACCAGTCCGATAAACTTGTTGATGTGCTGCACCACATGTCCGGGAACCGGTTCAGCACGTCGTCCTTGATGATATAACATCAAGAGCTGCTCTTGCCGTTGAGGATCATCACCGCGTAGAGGGACGATCTCAGCGTCATTCTTTTGAGGGGCTGAAGAGATCTTCACCTGGCTCAGGGCGCCAAGGTTATCCTTGTGGCCGGGTCGCCTTGCCATACTCCACGCGGGGTACGCGGATGCGCTGGTAATCCTTGATGGGATCTGGGATCTGTGCGCCGCGGTCTGCCACGTGAGCACTTTCTTGTCCGTGTACTTGGCGGTGAGCCACATGCTATCCAGCTCGTCCTAAGTCGGCACAAAGACCGTTGATGATCCTGCCGATGACGAAGGCCTCCATGACTTCGACCTTGCGTCAAACTCTGCATCCTGCCAGGCACCGAAGCTGTTCTCGAGCAACTTGTACTAATCGCCCCACGGTCGAGCAAGCAGGCCCAGGGTCCACGCCCAGCATAACGCCCTGCCGGTGGCTCGCGTAGGGTCCTTCCAGCTTGACTTCCGCAAGATGGCCTGCCGAAGGTTGTCGTCATTCTCCAACTGCAGGAAGATCAGCCGCTTGCTTGGGGTGATCATCTGCTCCGGGTTGTCCGCCTTGCTGATGAGAGATCCAGAAATCCGGGGGTTGACTCCTAACACCCATTAACACCCATTGCGAACCCGCCGCGCAATCAGTTTGCCTGGGCGTCTTCCTTGATCAGCACGCCGAACTGATGGATGAGCCGTTTCAGGATCTGCTTGGCCGCGGCACAAACCTGACCTGGATCCCGGCCTTTATGAGGCCCAGGACTTGATAGGTCCCGATGAAGGTCTCCCCAGCCACGCTGTCAACGTAAAAGACGCGCGTGTTGTTGGATGCGTGGTGTCTGAGCAGTGTGAATGGCAGCCTGCAAATCACGCTCTTGACCCGCTTAAAAACCGCGTTGTCAGAGCTGCCCGGGAAGGTGATGTCCCTAGCGCCAGGTTCCCCCAGAGCTTCATAATGAGCTCGGACGCCACTGACTCCTTGGACTGCTTCTGGCAAGTTGCCCGCATCGCAAGGCCTGAAGGTCTGGGTGGTATATCCTGCGGGTCACTTCCATCTCGGCCTCAGGGCTTGCAGCCAACTCATTCAAACCTGCCTGGGCAGCCACAATGTGGGCTTGATGAACATTGACTGCAGGCACCCAAGACGCTGCGCGTGCCAGCACAAAGAGCAACGCTGGCCTTGCCCTTGCCCTTGTCCGGAAACCTCCTTTGCCAGTGTTCTTGCCGACTGACTTGTTCCCCTTAAAGCCCTTAGCGAACTTGCCGGAGTGCTTGCCGCCCTTGTTCTTGTAGGTCTTGTCGGCGCCCTTCCTGAAGCCGCCCTTGCTCTTGTTCTTGTTCGGCTGGTAGAAACCTCTGGCCTGTGTCACTGGGGAGGTCTCGTTGATGGCCCAGCTGTCGTCCGTCGTCAGCTAGGTCTTCCATCGAAGAGCGCTATCCCGGCCAGCGTCAGGCACTGAATGCGCATCGCGTCCACCAAGGCCTGAAACTTGTACTGATTGCCCGCCGCGAGGAGCAGGTGTGAGGCCGACTTCTCTTCCAAAACCGTCGAGCAGCTTCACCGCCTCTCATCCGGGTAGCCAGGGATCTGGGCGTCCTGCATCCGGCGCTCCATCAACCTGAAGCGTCTCACGAAGGCACTGACGCTTTCGCCCTACATCCTGGCCAGGCCTTTGTGCTCGCGGATGATGCCACCCTTCTGGAACACCTCCTTCTCTCGCCGAAGCTCACCTCGAGGTCGCCGATCAGGATGTTGATGCCGCTCTCGACGTTGAACCTGTCATCGCTCACACTTTTTAAGAGCCGCCGCGCGTGTCAAGGCGTCCAAGGCCCGCAGGGCCTGCTCGTTGGCTGGAAGGAACTCCCGGATGATTGTCACCCACCTCCTGAGGTTGCGCTTGTACTTCTGGAGGCAGAATGATGGCGAGCTGGCCCACTCCGTCGAGCTGATCGCCCCAGTCACCATGGCCTTCGGCCTCCTCCTCGTTGGCGTCCTCGCCCGGATCGAAGTCTTCGCCCGGGTCGAAGTTCTCGTGCTCGTCATTGAACTCGCTGCTCGTGGAACTTGTAGAGGTCGTCATCCCACACGAGGTCCATGGGCGGCACGGGATGCCCCCAACCGCGCTACCAATGTGGTTCGGCCGCATCCTTTTTCTACCCTCGAGAAATGCCCACCCTGCAGAGCGGAAAGGCAAGGTGCTCGTGCCAAACGCGAAACTACGCATTCACACTTGCAACATGTGGAAGCACTCGCAACCCTTGTGCGCATCCACATCAAGGCCTGGGCTTCTGTCAGCCATGCTCGAGAGGCAAAACCACCTTGCTATGTGCGCTCCTAGATGTTCCATTGATTTACACTTACCAAACTTTGTCACACCCTTTCACTTAGACATCCACCAGACATATATAAATTCTGGGCATGTATTCTGGTTTCTGCGGGCCTCTTCAGGGACCCCCATTTCCAGTCTCAGTTGTGGTTGCGGAGAAGGTGTTTCTGAAGGATGTCGAGTGAAGAAAACTTCCATAGAGAGTCATACGCAGTGGCCTATACAGGCCGATCCATGAACACAAGAAACTGAGGAGCCTTTAAACCTGAAGATGAGCGCCAAGTCGCCCGCATCGTTCAATGGTAGAGTGCGCCAGTTCCGGTATGAAGAACTGGTTCGCGGCTGGACAACTTTCGCAAAAGTCAAGTACAGCAAGACGTGGCCCTATGCTGAAGAGGAAACATGCTGCAGAGGCTTTTGCACGCACTACGGGCGCTAGCTGTGCACCGTCAGAGAGCTGCTGATGTTTTTTAAGAAGCCGCTCTGGGACTTCGAGCCGCGTACTTGGTTAGAAAAGCTTCTGATGATAGCAACACCCAAAAAATGTCGACTGTCAACGTCCATGTTCGCGCAAAGGTTGCTTGATCCATGGGTTTAACCAGTGCATTGAAGCCCAGTGCGTGAAATGCTCATTGGACGCTGTGTTTTAGCGCGACGCTTTCTTTGAAAACGCTGGGAAATCCAGGCTTTTCATCCGGCGGACTACAAACGAGGGCCATGCCACCTGGCGCGAACATAATCCAAGGGACGTTCGCGGTCCTAAAGATGTTGCTTCAGACCCGCCTCACTTGTTTTTCTACCCAAACGCAGAAGCATTCGCAGTTTTATGATCAGGACAAATCTCGTTAAGTGGTCCCGCAGAACCCAAGGGCTGGACCGACATGCTACTCTTTTCTTCTGCACTGGGACGTGTTCCAGAGTTGCAACGCTTCTTTCTGAGTCAGAGGCCCTGAGAAGAGAACAAAGCCAAGCGCCAGCTGTGCATCCTGCCAAACTTCAAGATAGTCAAAGGCATTCGATTTCTGGTTCACTTTCCCTAATAGATCTTGCACTTTCAACATGTCAGCACATGCTTCCAGTTGTGGGTCAGAGAATTTTATACCTCGATTAAACCCCGAACACCCGGCAGGCTGACAGCATGTATTTATGTATGCATGCATGTGCATGCAAGCAGGCATGTATGTGTGTCTCTGTGTAGTGTGCGTCTGTGTGTATGTGTGTGGCATCGACGTATAGATTCCAAATCATTCCAAAGGCTGCGCTGGCAGGCAGTCCGCAGAAGCCGTACAGCCCACATGCCAGAAACAGCAACTCAAAGGACTCTCAAAAGTGTGGCCGTGTAAACTACCCTTCCCACAGACCTTGTTTTGTTCTTGGCACTTGAAGCCCTCTGTACAGGGCCAATGCACTGCGCCCAGTGAAACTACAACGCGTGTCCACAATGCACACAATCACAGAGTGCCAAACAAGTACCCCAATGGACAACTCAGCGCTGGGTCTTGGAGCACGCCGTTCACACATGGCTGACTCACAACAAGAGGAACTTTGGTACGGCAAGCATTCCGTCAGTTCAGACTCGATCTGAATCTAAGTATCCCAAGTTTCAACAATTGGTAAACAGCGCAAGCTCTATACATGTTCTCCATCGTGACTCTGTGCTCTGTGACTTCCAAGGTTTGGAAGGTGCACTGAGAACTCGGAGGGTGTGTGGCGGCTGCTCATGAGCCATTTGTGCAGATCATTTCCATATCTGTCTCACTCATTGTCAGAGTCGAAGATTGCTTTTGCCACAGCAGCTGCCAACTTCTGACCACCTGAGTCACTGGGCTCGACCCGAGCCACATAATCTTCAGTGTTCTTGCCATCCAAGACCTCGTACAAAGGAACCGTCACCACCTCTGTACCCGGAATGCTGACTTGAGAGACGCCCCAGGAGTAGACTTGCCTCATCACCTCAGCTTCGTGCAAAGCAATCATATTTCCGGGCCTTCCAGGTCTCAATCAAGCTGAACTGATTCCATCCCTCAGGCCCCTCAAATTTCTAGATCTCTGTAATGAAGAAAGCAGGGACACAGTAAGAGGACTGACAGTAGGCAAGAAACTGCCTGCAGCTTGGCTGGATTTGTGTCATAGCCAAGAGCTCGTAAAGTGCCATCTGCCCAGCTGCCACCTGGGCTCTCGTCCAGGTAGTAGAGCATACAAATGACGATCTTCTTCGGCTTTCGCTTCGCTACAAGCTTTTTGACGAGGCGCTGCAGCCGTATGCGGAACATGTGAATGAAATACCAGAGGCCAGGTGCCAGGTATGGACCGCAGCGAATAAAGCAGGTAGGGGTGAGATAGAGAAGCCACATCATGTGGAAGATTATCCACTTGGTGGGTCGCAATGCAACGTCGTTGCCACCAACATCAACCACCAAGACGTCATCCTCGGTGATGTTGTCGCGGATGAACTCGTCTTGAGGCAGGAGCCCTTCATTTTCTCGCTGCGAAACGCAGGACTCCTCCACCGCACCGTTGATACAGGTCACGCGACTGTTCGGTGACCACCGCAAACACTCTTCGTTCAGCCAGTAGGACACATCTCGCATCATCACCTCGTTTGCTGTCTACCGAGAATGCAGACATTCATGCCAATGGTCATGGAAAGATCGACTAGTTCCTTCCTACCCTGAGTTGAGCAAAGTCACAGGAGGATCAAGCACGTTCTCATAGCCGTTGATTGCCTTGCTGCAGGACGGCTGCTGTTGCACCCTTAGTTGACCAGTCGCAAATGGCCGCCATGGCCGCTAGTTTCAATTCTGACCACATCTGACATGCATGTCTCTCTCCATCCATGCGGCTGATCGCCTTTTTTGAAGAGCCAGTGCTTGTTGTCCAAGGTGGAATCTCCTGCCATGTACACGAAGCTCCTTACGCCATTCGGGGACGACAAACCCTTCGGCTAAAGTTGTAGATTCATTCATGCTGACATATGCTGACCTTGCAGGCATGGCTTGCAAACCGTCGCGCCAAGGCTCTTCGTGCCACTCTGCCTTAGTGAAGGCACCAGCTGGGACAAGTGTGCCACGGTATGCCCATGGTACTCCGCGTAGAAGGCTTGAGCGCTGATCTTCGCCATGGCTGGGAAAAGGGCTACGCGGAAGCAAGATCCGCTTATGGCAAATGCAACTGAGCAAAGCGGCCAAGGTCAAAAGTGTGCAGAAGCGAGAACTCTGTCACAACACACACATCGAGTGAGATGTTCGAATGCCAAGCCGGCTGCAGCTTCTACAGACACTTCATTCGATCTGCTTTGGATTGATTCAAGCAGGCAACTCCCTCACAACTATGCACCGCACCATGTGGATGCAGGTTGACAGCCATCGTTGAAAAGAAGCACGTTCAGACGCAAATGTTCTGAATGAATGATGCAAAACATCTGGTTCCTTTAAAACGCACAAGGTCGGAAGCATAAGCGCATTCTCATTCAATGCTGGCGACCCAGAAGCACTTGAAATGGCTCCAAATGCTGCAAGGCTGTGCGGCACTGGCAGGTCTTGAACTAGCAGCTGAACTATGCAAACGAGAATGTAAGCCATGCCAAAGAAGCATTCAAGGCCAACCAACGCAAATGATAACAACAACCTTCGAAGCAACCATCATTCTACTGGGGTGCTCACAATGTTGATGGGCATGCGATTGCGGGAGCGCACCACAACAAACCACTTGCTACCCTGAAAACCAACTTGCCTACAGTAGTCCACTCTCCAGTCTAGTGTACTGGACCCTAAGAAGCAAGCAAGCCTGGCCATCGCGGGGCTTGCAGTGGGCGACTGGTTGCTTGTCAATTCTCACTCCGTCACTCCCAGTTCCTGCAGTTTGCCCAGGCGACCGTAGAGGCTGCGGAACAGGGGCACAAGCACCTTGGCTATGGGCGTGGGCCTTCCGCTCCAATCACCGAATCACCAGTGCCATAAATCAACAACGCAACATGTCTCCAGCTCAATGTATCGTAATGCCTGCATTGGAGTTTGCACATGTGAAACAAGCTGCCGCAAACGGTACAGCGACATCTGGAATCTTAACATATTTTGTGTGACACAAGGCAACTGTAGCAGCACAGTTTTCCACTTGGCACGCGCGTTGGCAAGGCCTGTGCGCGCAGAGTCACATGACCTTGAATCATCTTCTTGGTCAAATAAACCCAGGAAGAGCAGCAACTGGCTGCATTGGCCAGGAATGTCCAGTACTCGTATCCACGCACGCAAACACCAGATCACGCGTGTTCGCACGCTGTGGTCTGTTGAAGACGAGCGCATTGTCAAGTAAGCAAAGCGTTGCTTTGCAAAGCTTCCCTGGCAGTCAAACGCACTGTTCTACACGACCGGCTCTGCTGGTCTGTAAATTGGGCAACTCCTGTGTCTGTGAAGGCTGGCCGTCCTCGCTTTGCAAGGCATAAGATTGCTCCTAGAAACAGCTATTGGAACAAATGGGTGATCGCTTTTCACGCCAAACACAGCGAGTATGTCCCGGGGTCTTCCGAGCAAGCAGCACAAGGGTGAGACTGAGGCCTAAACAGCAGTTGCGCTTGACTGGTGAATACAGAACCAGCGAAGGCCCTTTTTGAGTTGTAAGCCAGGGGAAGCTCCAGCCTGAAAGCCCGGAAGCCCAGAAGCAAGCAAACAAAGCACAGCAAACCGCCAACCTTAAACCCCCTGCACCGACCGACACCTTGTTCAAAACCAAGCCTAACTCAAACCCTGAAAGGAGCCTTGACAACCTCCAAGCCGGCCTGTAGCGGATCCTGAATGAGACTGAGGCCAACCCTGAGCCCTACAATAGAAAGGCATATTTACACTATATTTACACTGGACGCTTGCAAGCCCAAAAAATCAAAACCAATTCTGAATCAAGCGGAAGCTCATTCTAAACCAACCTTTTTATGTGTTCGGTTTCCCTTTGGCTCAACCTCAAGTTGAGGCCCGTGGCCCGTGCATTCTACAAAGCAACATGCAAACACGTCTTTCCAACTCCACACCGCTCATCCCCGAATTTGGGTGGCTTCCTCTTTGGCCCCCAAAACCACATCTTTTGAGGCTTCCGGCACGCCCCTGGATTCAGTTTTTTGGGTTTCCTACCTAGTTTTGCCAAGCCAACATATTGGATTCTGGCCCAGACATAGCGAATCTTGAAGTGAATCTTCAAACAATTCCAAAAAGAGCAGTCAAAAGACCATGTTGTCAATCTTCGAATCTGCAAAAGGTACCCTAAGTGAGCTTGAAGATGCTTCCTTTACACGCAAGAAACAAAGCAGCGCCAGAACTTGCGTCTCCTGGATGCGCTGGCCGTACTGAGGAAGTTGCGGCATCAGGCGCCCGTTCACTCGCAAGGCCACGAGCCGAACTCTGCCAACGCGCGCTCGATCTGTCTGTCGCCGTCTGCTTCTTTGTCTACAAATGGTCCGGACCGCGCAATTGCTGCTGGAGTTCTGCAGGTTCGTGGCAAACAAATGAAGCCACAGCATGATCCATCGCCATCTTCTTTGAATACAGAAAACGTTACAAGGGGTCACTTCATGTCGAGAGGTGGTATGCCAACCTTGCCGGACACAGAGTCCGCAACTTTATTCATGGAGCGCCACGAGCTAAGGAGATTCCAAACAAGAACATGTACAAGGTGGGCTGCCCAACAAGTGTTTGCAATAAGACTCCGTTCAAGTGTAAGGGCAATAGTCAATAGACGGACTGGCCGCGTCTCCGTGCAGTGGCTTATGTTTCCACGGGGCAAATTGACCTCCAACTCATCGAGTCGGCCCAGTGAATTCGCTGGGCAACTCATCGAAAGCTGCAGCAAGGGCAAGCCCAGAAAGCCTCAAAAAACAAACGCTTTGAAAGCGATTCATTTTTCACTTGATGACTCAAGAGCCTTTCACAAATAAAGTCTCGCGCTGCTCAATCTGCTCTGAAATCTTTGGGCTTGACCTCGCTGAGACACTGTGCAGACGGCAGTGAACGGAGAGAACCAGCACACCTTGTTCAAATATATGACTACAAGTAAAGCCGGCACACCACAGTTGGAGCACATTTTTCTTCCCCCTCTTTCTCGTTTGCTCCCTCCCTCCCTCCCTCCTTGTCTGTATGCCTGTCTGTCTTGCTCTTTCTCGTTTGCTGTCTCTTTCTCTCTCGCTCTCTCTGTCTCTGCCTCTGTCTCTATTTCTGTCGTTTTCCCTCTGTTCATGTGGCTCTCTCTCTCTCTCTCTCTGTGCCCCTGCCTCTTCCCCTGCCTCTTCCCCTTCCTTTCTCTTGCTCTTTCTCTTGCTCTTTCTCTGTCTCTTTTGTGTCCTCCCCCGTTCTCTTCGTTTTCTTTGCTTCCTCCTTCCCTGTCTCTGTCTCCTTTTCTTTAGCCTTCTCTTTCGTCTTCCCTTTCTTTTCCGCTGTCTCTGTCTCCTTCTCTCTCGCTTTCTCTGTCCCTGTCTCTGCCCCTGTCTCTGCGTCTGTCTTTTCGGTTGTCTCTGTCTCCGCCCGTCTCCGTCTCTTTGTCTTTCTCTTTCCGCGCGCAGCCGCGCAAGTTGCACATGGGCCTTGCGCCGGGCCAGCTCCGAGCCTACCTCCGTCAGGCAGCGCGACCGGATTGCGCACATGCGGAAGAGCCGAACTCGCGAACAATTCCCCAGCCCTCGCGTTTCTCATGTAGCTTTTTCGCGCAGGCGCGCGCGTTCTTACGTGCATCTTCGTTCGCACCAAAGCAGCGCGCGCCGGGCAGTGGCAAAGTCTGCATTTCAAGCAAAAAGCACGCAAAGAATAGACGCGCGCCGCGACTTGTTGCCTGAGCGACCGCAGGAGCCAGCGTGCATTTTGGCCGCCGGATAGGCTTTGTTGGGCCTTGCATTGCACTTTGACAGCCACCTTGAAGGACAAGACAAGCCTCAGCTTCTGGATCAAAATGGAGCTTTCTGGTGCTTCGGGGCATTTTGTGCATAAAATATCTGGCGCGCGTGAGTTGTTGCACACCTTTCGCATTTGCGCGTGCTTGCAGAACTTTGCGCGCAAATTCCGGAAATTGGTGAGCAAACGCGGCGGGCGCCATAATAAACACGCGCAACAAAACGCCTCTGGGCCAGTCACTTGCAACGCATGTTTTCCCATCACTTGCGGCACAAACGATCCTTTCCTTTTTGCCGATCACTTACACAGAACGCAGCATCCTCATCACCAGCACGGGGCGGGCCTCAGGGAGCTGGGCAGGGGTCATGGCGATCGCCGTCGTGGGTGCCACTTGCCGACCGCACGCCATGCCGTCGCGAGCGAGGTGGCGCAGCTGACGCCACACCCCGCAGGAGGCCGCCCCTTTTCGCAACTTCCATTTCCGGCGCATACACGCGCACGCATTCTTCTCGCGCGCGGTAGTTCTTGTTTTGCGCCAAGCTACTAGTACCTTTTGCGTCCGCAACACTGAAGCTCCTTCTAAACTTCCGTCGATAAAGACCACGCGCAAGCGTACGCATTTTTGCAGAGAGGGCTCAAGCAGTCCAGCACTGCGGAAGTTCTTGTTGAGGTTCATAATTGAAATTGGGACACCCAACAGCGTGTGAAGAATGAGAAGGGCGGACGCACCTATTATGGTTGGGCCCGTCCCCTGCAACGTTCACTTATCCGGGCTTGATTTTGGCCCGCAAGCCAGGCAGCTCCTTTTGCCGCTGCAAAGCAAGTGCGGGAACATTTGCCCAAAACAACCTGCCTCCAATGATATACTGCAGGCTTACGTAGTGGGAGCACGGAGCGCGTTGACAGTAGCCCTGTACCCCGGGCTTGGACCGTTCGACTGCAGCTCTCGGCGCATCTTTCGAAGTTGCTTCTCCTGCGAAAGAAAGAAAAATGCGAACGGGTCATCATGCTTGCAAGCACTTCAGCAACACAAGCTTCCTCCGTTGAACTGTGCTTGGCAAGCATCCTGGGAAAACGCCAAAAGGTCAGCAGCATGTGATAGACTTACATGAGTGAGTGAGTAAGTGACGAATGAGCGAGCAAGTGAGGGAGTGACTGAGTTGAGGAATGGAGTGAAGTGGGGTGGAGCGGAGGGGAGCGGAGAGGAGAGGAGTGGGGTGGGGTAGGATGGGTGGGGCGAGGCGAGGCGAGTGAGAGAGTGAGAGTGAGAGTGAGCGTGAGAGTGCAAGTAAGAGTAAGAGTGAAAGTGAGAGTGAGCATGGCAGTGTGAGTCAGTGTGTGAGCGAGCATGTGAGCTTGCTTGAAATCTGAGAGTGCGAGTGTGTGAGTGTGAGAGTGTGAGTGCGAGTGTGAGATCGCGAGTGAGAGCGAGTGTGAGTGTCAGAGTGCAAGTGAGTGAGTGAGCGTGCGTACGTGTGAGCGGCGAGCGACAGTGAGTGAGTGAGGGAGGGAAAAAGGGAGGGAGGGAGGGAGTGGGTGCGAGCGCGCAAACTTGCGTGCGTTCGTTCGTGCGTGCATGAGTGGTTTGGTGGCTGGCTGGCTGGCTGGCCGGCTGGCTGAGTGAGTGAGTGAGGGAGGAGTGAGTGAGTGGGTGGGTAGGTGGGTGCGTGTGTGCGAGAGTGGGTCAAAGAGAGTGAAAGTGAGTGATGCAGTGAGAGAATCTGCGGAGCGAAAGCGAGGGGTGAAGCGCGCATGCATTCGTGCGTGCGTGCGGGAGCGAGCGAGCAAGTGAGCTAGTGTGTGGAGAGAGGTGGAGAGAGGTCGAGCGAGGTCGAGTGATGTGGCGTGAGGCAACCTGGCGATTTGATGAGGTTCTCAGCTTGGAGCGCTCTGGAGTGAGGTGGAGGAAGGTTGATTAAGCGAGGTGGAGCCAGGCGCGAGGAGAATACTGCTGTGAGGCTCGTATGGTACACTAATCATCACTGCCAGCTCGCATTGCTTCCTGGCTACCTTGTTCGGACATGCAGTTCAAACACGGTGTCGTGTGTGTCCAGCAGAGTACCTGAATATATTGTTGCATTGATTGTTATCCACCAAACAACAAACTCTGATGTTGCTTCAGCCCTTGTCCCCGGACACTGATGGGACTCATGAAATCACACACCGCCAGCTTTGTGCAGACTGGTTGTATTATGGTGCAAAAGCTAACAAGCACACAACACATATTAACCTGCATGCAAATGGTCAAACGCGCCCCCTCAGGCTTGGCGTTGCCTCCCTTGTAACAACATTGAATTCAAAATCATATTCATGTTCCTGACAGAACAGCCAGCACACATACTTTCATATGTGTCTCAGCTTGACTGTGGTTGCATCACTGTCATCCAGAATTAATGCTGTGCCTTCCAAAACAGAGCCTGCTGAAACACTGCTATGAAGCTCCAACCAGAAAAACGCAATGGAGTACGACGAAGCTGTGAACAAATTTGGATCGGAATGCAATTGGCATTATCTTGCGAGGGCACTGGCGCATGTTTGGCCGAGCCACCACAAACCGCTGAAATTGGCTCTGCGTCTTGATGAGCCACGCCTCTCAGGAACAGTCTCTCAGTATCAGTTGCATTGCGCATAGGCACTACATCTCAGATGTCATAAGCACCTATACATCGCAAATGTTTTGCAATGTCTCTGAATGTCTCCTACTCACAGTTCCAAGTGCACATGAAAACAATGCTGAAAGCATGAAGTCAGCGCGTGCCCTTTTGCAGCTATGGTGGGCAACAGCATGGGTCCGTTCCTGGTCGTGGATCAACTTGCCCACATCGATGGCTCTGGCTGAACCACGAAGCCTGCACCGAATGGCCACAGATTGATTAGATCAAGCCATGTGGGTTGTGGGACCTATGCGCTTGGTCCAAAGAGTGGCTTCCCCAAATTTTCGTGAAATCTCCAATCCAAAGCTGCCACTGGGCTTCTGCGTCCTAGCTATTCAAGGATCTCTTCAGCAACCAAGATGTTTGGCTCTGGTGGTATCTCTCTCTCACACAATTCGATGGGCTCCTTCCAGCGATGCAAATGCTGCTAGGTGCCTGCACTCACCATGTTCCCCCCCATCTCGGGACAATTAAACTTGATCTTCCATAAAACCCAAAGCTGCGGATCAGGTCATTCTGGCCCAACGCAGAGGCCCATACAGGGCATATAAAGTTCTGCAACATGCAGGCAAAACACTGACAATACCGACAAAAAAGTAAATACGAAGCTTGTCTTCTCCCTGCTCGCTTGTGCTCAGTAGCCACTTTGCTAATTCCAATTGTTTGAAGAACTGCTGATGTTTGGTGCACTTGAGAAATGCTGTTGCAGCACTTCCGTGACCGAATGGGTAACAACACACAGTCTGGCTGACTTCGTGCCAAGTCCTGCTCAAGCACATTTAACAAGAACTTGGTCAATCCCACACATTCGCCTCAGGCAACCCATCAGGAATTGTTCAATCTCCACATCGCCGCGGCGGTCATTGTCCAAAAGCTTGTAGAATGACCAAACCTCGGTCCCCCGCAACATTATGATATGCCTGGTGTGTCTCCTATGTGAAATGAGGAGACGCAGTGTGCAAGTGACGAGGGCAAAGCACATAGCTGCCAGCCATTCCCCGGGCAAACATGCCACTTGCATATAAGCAACGTCCCACACATCCAGGCCCAACACTTCAAAATAAGCACGTACATTTGGCTGAAGCAATTTCTCCTCCAAAACCTTGAAGGTTATCACGCCCGCGTCTTTGTCGCCGATCGTGTGGAACAAACGGCGAATCTTGTCGCAATGCGCCTGTCAAGGACACCCTGCTGGCGAACAAGAACTGTGAAACCACGCGTTTGACTACTTACCAGTGGCACTGCGTGCTCTGCAAGTGCGGAAGTTCATCTGCCCAACCGTAAAATTTCAACTGCGCGTCAACATGCGCAGCTCATCCGCGATTCTGAATATTTCTCAATCGAGCATGCCTGGCACTTGCCGGCCTTCTTGTTCTTCAGCACTGAGTGAACCATTGCCGCATGGTCGCTTTGTGCGCTCTCGACCGCTGTCTGGCAAAAAACCGCCGTAACGACCTCGGGGGAGAAAAAAAGAGCGTAAAGAAGTTGGCCGCAGCCACTCGGGGGTAGTAGTAGTAGTAGTAGTAGTAGTAGTAGTAGTAGTAGTAGCAGTCGGAGTAGTAGTAGTAGCAGTAGCAGTAGTAGTAGTAGTAGAAGAAGCCGCAGTAGTAGTAGTAGTAGTAGTAGTAGAAGAAGCCAACAACAAGATACGGGCCTCTGGCAGCAGCAAAGTGAGGGGGAATCACCAGGACGGGACCACGTCGCCAGGAGGGGATGTTGTTGGGCCCAGTTGGCAAGGCGGAAGGAGCAAAAAATAAGAGGAGAAAACGCGACAAGAGAGCAAGAGAAAAAAGAAGAGAAGAGAAAGACAGGCGGTAAAACGCAAAAAACAACAAGAGACAAAAACAAAGAGGGAGAGAAAGAGAAAGTGGGAAAAAGACAAACAGGAAAGCAAGCAAGCAAGCAAGCAAGCAAGCAAGCAAGCAAGCAAGCAAGCAAGCAAGCAAGCAAGCAAGCAAGCAAGCAAGCAAGCAAGCAAGCAAGCAAGCAAGCAAGCAAGCAAGCAAAGCAAGAAGAAACAAAGAAAGAAAGAAAGGAAGAAAGAAAGAAAGGAAGGAAGAATCAAAAGAAACAAAAAAAAGAAAGAATGAAATAAAGAAATAAAGAAAGAAAGAAAGAAAGGAAGAAAGGAAGGAAGGAAGGAAGGAAGAAAGAACAAACAGAGAGAGAGAGAGAGAGAGGAAAACAAAAAGGACCAAGAGAGAGAGAGAGAGAGAGAAAAAACAAGAAAAAACAGTCAAACCAAAAACAGGAGGGAACGGAAAGAGAGAGAGAGAGAGAGAAAGAAAAGAACAAAGAAAGAAAGACAGAAAGAAAGGAAAAAAAGAAAGAAATACAGAAAGAAAGAAAGACAGAGAAAAAGGAAAGAACAAATACACTTGTAAATGAATGTGAATAGATGAATAAGTACAAACACAAACAAAAAGAGAGAAAAGAAAGAAGGCAGGACAGAAAGAATTGCTGGAAGGAAGGATTAAACGACAGAAAGGGTGAAACAATCACAAGACAAAGAAATAAAGAAAGAAAGAAAGAAAGAAAGAAAGAAAGAAAGAAAGAAAGAAACAAAAAAAGAAAAAGACAGAACAAGAAAACATAAATAATACAATAAAAAAAAGAATGGACGAAATAAAGCAAGATACAAAGAAAGACAACACAGTCATGGGGAGGAAAGAGAAATGGAGAAAGAGAAAGACAACGAGAGGGAAAAAGAACAAGAACAAGGACAACAAAGACATGCAATAAAATCACAAAGAACAAGAGAAAGACATAGCACAAGAACATGAACAAGCAACAGAGCAAAACAAAGAAGGGGAAAAAACAAAAAAGCAAAATAACGGAGAAAGAAAATAGAAATTAAAAACAAGCAGCATGAAAAGAAAACCATCTAAGAGAAAAAAATAAGACAAACACAACATATATATATATATAAACGAAAAAGCAGAAACAAAAAATCAAAAAAGAAAAAGAACAATAACAAGAACGGAACTTGCGAAACAACAACAATAACAAGGCAAAACACAAAAACAAAACAGGAACTTGCGAAACGAAACAGAACGGCAAACATAACTCAAAAAGGGCAGAATGAGAGTGGGAGAGCGCGGGTTCTTTCTTTGCCTTGCTTCTCTCTTTCTCGCTCTCTTTTCTTTCTTTATTATCTGTTCTCTCATGGTCTCCTTTTTCTTGTATACTTTCCTTCTCTCTCACGGTCAGGAAGAGAGAAACAAAGAAAGAGAGAAAGAAAGAAAGAAAGAAAGAAAGAAAGAAAGAAAGAAAGAAAGAAAGAAAGAAAGAAAGAAAGAAACAACGAAAGAAAGAAAGAAAGAAAGAAAGAAAGAAAGAAAGAAAGCACGAAAGCAAGAAAGCAAGAAAGCAAGAAAGCAAGAACAACAAGAAAAGCAAGCAAACAAAAATACAAGAAAACAACAAGTCAAGAAAGCAAGAAAGCAAGAAAGCAAGAAAGCTGGAAAGCAAGAAAGCAGGAAAGCAAGAAAGAAGGAAAGAAACAAAGCAAGAAAGCAAGAAAGCAAGAAAGCAAGAAAGCAAGAAAGCAAGAAAGCAAGAAAGAGAAAGAAAGAAAGAAAGAAAGAAAGAAAGAAAGAAATAGAGCGAGAGAGAGAGAGAGAAAAAAAACAGAGAGGAAGACAGACAAAGAAATGAAGAAAGCAAGAAAAGAAAAATATAGGAAAGAAAAGAAGGACAGAAACAACGATTGAGAAACAGAAGCAAAAAACAGGAAGAAAGACAGAAGTAGTGGAAGAAAGAGCTAAAAAACAGAAAGGGTGATACAAAGAAAAGACAAACAAAGAAAGAACAAAAGAAGACGAACAGACAAAACGAAAGCGACAAACATAGAAAAACAACGAAACATGAAGAATGAATGAAAGAAAGAACTCAAAGACAGAAAGAAGAAATGAAGAACAACAAAGGACAGATTGAAAGATAGACAGAAAGACGTAGAAACAGAAAGAGAGGAGAAACAGAGAGAAAGAGAAAGACAAACAGAGAGAGAAAGAGAAAGAAAAAAAGGCAAAGAAAGAGAGAGAGAGAGAGAAACAATATGGGAGAGGAAGAGGACAAAAAAAGAAAGAGAAAGCGAAAGAGAAAGATAAGGATAAGACTAAGGCTAAGGAAAAAGAAAGAGAAGGCGAAACAACAAGAGCAACAGAGAAACAGAGAAAGAGAGACAGAGAGAAAGAGAGAAAGAGAAAAAGAGAGACAGAGAGAAGCGGAGAAAGGGAGAAACAGAGAAAGGGGCAAAGGGAGAAAAGAGCAGAAGAAGACCCAGCAGAGCAAGAGGGCGAGCCCAAGAAACATCTGACGTTGCGCAACCCACACCTACCGAACGTCGCTCGCAAAAGAGTTTCTATGGGGGGTGGCTGTGAGTCGGAAATGCTGCCAACTGCCAGGAGCGCGCGATCCTAGAGGCTGGTCGAACTTTAGTGCTCAGCGTCAAGGGGGCAGGCATAAGAAGGGACGCAAATGTTCTTTGCGAGTCTTGTTGCTCAGTGGCCTGTAATGCGACAGTCTGGGGGCAAGTTCTGCAGAACGCACGCAAGGTGATTTGATTTGCGATTGTTTTCCCACGCGCTGCGTCAGACACACAAGTAAGCTCTGCGCAAGATGGCGGAGTTGGTTTTCCCTCACCAAGTAGAATCGCTGGCCCAACAGGTTCAGCATGTTGAGTCAGCGCGCGTGATCTACGGCAGCTGTTTCCTACATGGTTGAATGGTTAGGCGTTCGCGCCCCGGCCCCTGCGCTCAGGCGCATGTGTTTGTGATCTCTACCACCTTTCTGTCATGGCCCGTCTTTGCCCGGCCTTTACTGTAGCCTTGCAGAGGCTCAGCACAAGGTTTCCCATTGCGAGTAGGCTCTACACAAAACACCTTGCGCAAGCTGCGCTTCAGGCAAGTTTTGGGCAAAAATGTTGTTGGTGAGTGTCTCTACGTTGGCGCCTAAGTTTGTCTTCGCGCCTCAAGACATTGCGCATCGCTCCCGCCGTGGAGGAATCGCGCAAGACTTCCCTCGCCACGGCTCGTGTTGGCAAACTGCGTCGACTACGCTGCTCTGCGTCTTCCGTAATTTGCGGAACAACGCTGAACCCGGAGGCAACCACCCCTTCCCGAGCTGCTTCCGACAAGCTTGTGATGGGTCAGTGAGTTGTCAAATGATCTTTCCCTCTGCGCCCCCTATTAAGCACCCCCATCACCAAATAAAAGCTATGCGATATTAAGCCGAGTCTAAGCCAGCAACTGCAGGCTTTTCAGCCTGCAAGCGTAGAGCAAAAACTCAACTGCAGTTTCAGTTGCGGAGTTCGGTGTCAAATTAATTAGACACTGCGCAGGGCTTACTTGGGGAGAATGATTGCCCAACCCGCCAAGCCACTCTGCAACATTGAATCCTGCGAAGCTGGGGAGGCTGCCGATTGCTTGCCGGGCTGCATTAAGGACAGCAAACAGCGTGAAAAATATGTAGAAGAGGAACAACGCCGCCAGGAGCGGGGATATCCTCCTCCCGGGCAAGGCTGCTTCGGCACGGGCAAGTGAACCGCAACGCCAGCTGACATCCCGCGCTGTTGGTTTGAAGCACGTGCGCTGGCAACGCGGGGGCCACGCGTAAATGGTGGTTCAATCATGCAGGGGTCCGCCGGCCACGCACAAATGTCCGAACGCCACAAGAAGCAACGGATCGGCGAGCCTACGGACGTGCTTGGGCTCGTAACTTTTCCCACGCTTGATGTTGCAAAAGGGGCTTCCCAGTTCGAGCACCGGGGCATTCATGTTGGCTTCTTTAACCTTCTTGTAGCTTTGCCCTCCAACTTCCCAAGCCAAGTCCGCGGGGCTTCCTTTTGGGCGCGTTGTTTACTCAAGGGAGTCTTCCTTAATGAGTGAGTGAGTGAGTGAGGCGAAGTCTCTGCCCTAACAGGATCCTGCCCAAGGCGACATCCCCCGGCTTCTCACAGGGCTCCGCAAGCGTCAGCGCACCCTTCACTTTAAGTTCGAACGGGCAGGGCGAGCAAACATCCTGGAACGACAAAAAACTTCTTGGGAGTACGTCGAAGAGGAGCCCAGTTCATCAACAGGGCAAAAGCTGGCCTTCGCGTAACGCAACAATTTTGCAAGACTGCCACCCGCAACTGCGACAAATAACACCATGAGCAGAATCGGACACAAAAGGTAGCTTCATCCAAACAGGGGATACGTGAGGCAGGAGCAGGTTGTGTTCCATGGTTCATGCGATTTCGTCACCCATTCGAAGGCCTCCTTAAACTGCAAGAATTCTGCTCAGTTCCTCTTGAAATCGGACGACGAAGCTTGCGCGATCGCTGACAAATTATAGCTCATTCCTGCGCATGTCACTTAGAACGGAGCACGCCTCCTTTTTCCTTTGCAAGCCCGATGCAATGCAGTTCCAAACCCTACCATAGGGATTTGCTTTGGGACGTCTGTCAGGCTTCTCCTCCTGACAGACAGATGCTTTTGGCATCATGGTCAGAGACCCTATGTGGACACCCTGTCCAGGAATCTCCCCCCCGACCATGCCAAAAACATCAGCGCGCCCTGCGCGCACCCCAGCCCGAAAAAAAAAGTCGTGGGCCTTCAAACGGAGAGATTACCCGAACGTCGGGTCCCTCCGCAGGGTGGGTGGGTGGGACTCAAAAATAGCCACTTTTGGATCAAGGCCACTTGAGTCCCAAAATGGCAAGACATCAAGGAATGATAAATGCATACCCAAGCCTACCAAACTCAATGCATTCACACATTCCTGTGCGTGTCACTTAGAACGGAGCACGCCTCCTTTTTCCTTTGCAAGCCCGACGCAATGCAGTTCCAAACCCTACCATAGGGATTTGCTTTGGGACGTCTGTCAGGCTTCTCCTCCTGACAGACAGATGCTTTTGGCATCATGGTCAGAGACCCTATGTGGACACCCTGTCCAGGAATCTCCCTCCCGACCATGCCAAAAACATGAGCGCGCCCTGCGCACACCCCAGCCCGAAAAAAAAGTCGTGGGCCTTCAAACGGAGAGATTACCCGAACGTCGGGTCCCTCCGCAGGGTGGGTGGGTGGGACTCAAAAATAGCCACTTTTGGATCAAGGCCACTTGAGTCCCAAAATGGCAAGACATCAAGGAATGATAAATGCATACCCAAGCCTACCAAACTCAATGCATTCACAAATATGTCGCACGGCTGGCTATCACCTCGATCCACAGATTGCGTCTCCAGCGACGGCAGCATCACCAGCATTGCCAGCAACGAAGTTGAGCTGAAACGACCCAGCAACATTTAGCTGAAACGACCGGTGACGCACAAGCGGCATCGCCAGCATCATCAGGCCCAGAACCAATCCTCAAGTGGCTGGAGGCAGATCAAAAGGCTTGAAGGTCTAGGTTCTGTCCTTACGAGCCAACTGCGTGTCTGAATTTCGGAGCGCTGAGGCAATTCTGCGCTCGCGCCCTGCACCTGACTAGAACACACCTACCTGAGTAGAACAGAAACAGCTGCAACAAAAACCGACAACGACCTTGTCGTGGGCGTTGCGGCTTTCACAAGCGTGAAGGCCTAGGCTCTGGAGCGATGTGTCCTTACGATTGGCTGCGTGTCACACAGAGTTTAAGGCCTCGATCCCGAGCAGGAGAGGGACCTTGACGTGGTCATGCGCCCTTACGAGTTAGCTGCAGTTTACACAGGCTTGAAGGCTTTGGATCTGGAGCGATGTGTCCTTACGAGTTGGCTGCGTGTCACACAAGGTCTGCGGGCGGATTCGAACAAATGGCGGGCGGAAGATAAATTATTTAACATTTGAACCAACTCATCACCTGCGCACAACAGGTCCAGACAGTTTACCCTGAGAGTGGCGGGGCGAAGACCAACGCTGCGGCCACTGGACACTGGACAAGGGGTAGGTGTCCTTACATAGCCTTATCTTTTGCGTTTCGTTTAGAGTTCCCTTGAAGGTTCATTTGGATTTGTTCGGGGATTCCAAGTTCCCAATGCTTCTGTTGAAGCTTGCTTTGGGCTCCCTTCCGGCTGTTTCAGGGTTCGTACATGTGTCCTTTAAGTGTGGCATAGGATTTGCGACTGCCAGGTGGCTCGGTATTGTCAAACAGGACTTGTGCTGAAACGCTGAGTGTTTCGTGTAACACCAGCAGAAGGGGGCAGAGGAGGTCCGTAGAGCTCTGCCCAGCGAAGCTCTCTATGGCGACGTCAGGATGCTGGGTCTGGTCAACAGTGTTCCTGCCGGGCCAACTTCGAACTTTGAACTTGCCAATCCTTTGGATGGATCGTTCAAGTGTGTGTTCGGCTGGTTGTCTGTCAAAGTGCCAGTCGTGAGGCTCAACATGTTTGAATTTTGTCTGCTTTCCGCTTTTCCTGAAACGCCACCCACTGATCACACATATTTTGAGGCCTTTGTGCAGCGGTCTGTGACTCCGACGTAATCTTGATTTCCGCGATTCGGCCTCTTTCACTATGCTCGAGCAAGTGTGCTCAAGCCAATGCCAAGCAGCAGGCTTGTGTGCGTCTTTGAGTTTTTCATCGGGCGGAATGACAGCGCCCGCCCGCCAGCAATGGAAAACATGCCCCAATAGTGCAGCGCGTCCCACCACCCAGGCCAAAGCAATGTGTGGATCATGAGTTGGGACGCCGCCAGTGTAGGCACCGTCATCGCGATCAAGATCCCAAAGACGGCAGAGACGTGAGCCAGAACGTTTCAGCACAACCTGCCCCCCTCCTGAACCAGTCAGCTCACCTCCGGGCAAGACGCGCCAACACAGCGCTCAAGAACTCTCTTGGTGCACTCATGAGACCGCGCTGCGCAACCAGAGAAGCGGCAGCAAGAATCGATGGAATATCTGTTGTCTGCCACGATTTGTCTGCAGATTTTCCACTCGCGCAGACTTCAACGAGCCCAACCCTGGCAGTCGAAGATGATGCGTGGGGTCCATGGTGTGTTCCCAACGCATCACATACACAGATACCAGACATGTCGGAAATGCGATGCGGATTTTTCCAGCTACGGAACAAGCAGGAGGAAATAAAAAGAGGCCAGGTCAAGCCAAAGAATTCATGACATCAACAGATAGGCCGTTTAAAAACAAAACCTTGAAACAAGGCTTTGTTTGTTTCCCTTCTTGCCTTTGTTTGTTCCCCCCTTTTTGCTTTTAACACATGAACATTTCCTGTAGGCGGTGTTATTCGGGGCGTGTGCGCCGTTGCCACGCTCGCGGTGTTTTGTTTGGGGCGCGTGCGCCTGCGGCCACGCCTGCTTTGACACAACGGGGCGCGTGTCTCAAGGGCCACGTCCCAGTGGCTGTGTTGCAGCGGTGGTTTTGTTGGTGGTAACGGTTGCGACGATGAGTGCGACAATGCGCGATTTGCATGCACATATAGTAGGGTTCTTGAGTCAGTTTTCATTGGCCAAATTTTTGCAAGACACTGCGTTGTCCGTTTGCGCAGCTTACGCCACGTTTTTTTGTTTTATCCATAAGCTTCGAGTTCGTGTTTTATCCCTGAACCACGTCGCGACCCGCCTCTTCTTGGGGATGCAACAAAGGCTGGCAGAGCTCGCAATTGGAATGACTGGCGTAGTTGGTCAGCGCCAACTACTCAAAACACCCGTCTGGCAAACATCGCACGGAAAATTCCAGCAGTTGCTGGATTTCCCAAGTCATTTTACCCAAACGCAAAATTTCCATGATTCCACGGAAGTGTGTTGAATGAAGTTCTGCTACTTACCGAGGATGGGACAACTTTCACATCCGGGCCTTGCCAGAAGCCTCCATTAGTTATAAGTTGGTTACCATGAAGGAAACCACAGCGGAACTATGTTATAAGTTCCGGACTGTTTGTTTTAATTTATAGGTACTTAGGCAAAATAGACGGAACTTACAGTGTGTCCCCCGAAGTTACTTCGAGGTCTACCTTTTTTTTGGGTCCCGGCGCGCGCGCCCGTGTCGCGCCGCAGCCATTATCAGCCCTTTGCGCCGGCGCAATACACAGAAGGATCAGCGCAGCCAGCAGCCCATCCACGGCGGCCCGTAGACTGTCTGCCCGTAGACTGCCCGTGTCGCGGCAAGGGGGTGCGCAAGGCGGGACGACCCGAATGTCGGCCAATGTCGGCCGCCTTACAAGCGCAGCACCCATGATCCTGGCTGAAAATTATCACGGTTGCACAATGTCGGCCAATGTCGGCTCATCCGCGAAAAGAAACTCCTTCTGTCTCCATTGACGCCGCCAGCCGAAGCGAGAAAAATAAATCCACTGCGCTCTGCAAGACACGACAACCTAGCTAAAAAAATGTTTTCCCGCAGAAACACTAAAATCATAGCACTTTCAACCGCGAATGAACTTACGACCGACTGAGTAACTTCATTTTAAATATGTGACGTAAGAAACTTGAAAGTAAGCTAATTAACTTATAAGTGTCAAAAGTTAATGGAGGCTTCGGGCATCAAAGAAGCGTGCTTCTTTTCCAGTCAAAGCTCAGGGATTCTAAGATGGATCTTGATCAGGTGGCTGAAAGCTACTACGATCAAAACCAACCTAAGTTCCAAGGGGATGAGTCCTGAGAGAAGTCATCTAGCTAGAAACTTTTACCTCGTGGCTGATTGGTCAGTGCGAGAAATTCCATAAGCAGGAGTTGGAAGTCGCACAATGCAAGATCAAGCAGTTGCAGCAAGAATTGGAACGGGCAAAGAAACGGTCAGCGTCGGAGCCTGACCCTGCACGCGCCTCGGCCAAGACCCTCTGCTAGCAGTGTTCAAATGACACTGGCTGTCAACGCCCCAACCAGTGTTACTCCGAAGCTTTAAAGAAACGGATTGAGAAGCTGCCTCTGAAAAAGGCTCTTCAAGACAATCTTGAAAAGACGTGCAACAGCGTGCTGCAGACAGTCAAAGAGATGTCAGTTGAAAAATTGGATCAGCTCGCTGACCGCAGCATCCAAAGGAAAGCACACCACACTCAAAAAGAAATGTGCAGCCATAGCGCTGGCCGAATGACTCAATGAAGCATCTGCGAGCGCAAAGAGCTTCCGCTTCAGAGGGTCTGCAGCAAGCAGCTGCATGTCTCGCAGCACGGGGACAGGCGCGTTTAGAGGCTGCCGTTCAAAGCCCAGAAATGTGGAGATGTCGTGGGTTTTTTCGTGTGTGTGTGTGTGTTGCTTGTGGGTTGCTGTTTTGGTTCTTTGACTGTTTCCATCCACAGGCCGTGTTAGAACTTGGCGCAACCGCCTGGGAAACTTTTGCAAGCCTGAAAACGCAACATTTAATTCAGTCAAGCAAGCTTTTGACCACGCGTCGACGCATCGAAGGCGCCTTTCTTCAAGCTTTCAAGACACAAGGTACACGTTGGCTGCGCAGTCAGCAGCAACCGGCAAGATGCTCGCGTCCGAAAGTTCAAACAAGTTTCCGAACAAGCAGTTGCAAGCGAGCTCGCCTTACAATGGTTCAACACTTGCAACCATGCGACAGCGGAACGCAAGCCCGAGTGATTTAATGGAAGCACGCCTACTTTAAAAATGGTCACCTAGGCTGAGTTTCCCGTTAATTCTCCGACCCAAAGAGACGAAACAACTGCTTGGTGTGTCAAAAAAAGCCCAGACACTTTGGCTGCCGTATAGCATCCCAGGCACACGCCTTTTTCGAAAGCTCCGCAAAAAGTGCGTCTTGAGTCTCTGTTCCACACTGGCATCAGTGACCCAATGGACGACTGTTTTCACTTTCTAGAAACGATTCAGTTTCGTTCAACGCTGCCCTCTACACCGGAAGAGCAGCAATGTCGTTAGAACATTTGTACGCTTTGCACCGAATGAGCAACAGTTTGGAGGATCCACCCCGAAGTACCCAGGCAGGTGAAACGTTGGTTACGTTAGTTACGTTCCCTGGTTCTGCCATTGAAGAATTCCTTGACGCCTCCTGTTGCCAATCTGCAAAATAATAACCGGCGAGTTGAAAGGTGGCAAGTTTGCTATTTTCACATTTTCGATGGATGCGAATTTTCAAGTGGGATGACGTGCCCACGCCAAGGCATAATCGAAGAGCATCCCAATCTCCGTTGAAGTGGCTGCGAGCACAGTCATGGATATAACATGATTCCATTGGCAGCATGTCCTTTCACCAGTAAAAATCCGAGCAGCGGCATGAACAAAACCTTTCCATGAAAGACAATCTTCGCCAAATTTTGAGAGCGTTGGTAGCGCAGGGCCATGATCACGCGGCTGGACATATTCATGTATTGCCCAGCGCTTTACCACTATGTGCTGCGTCAATCATTTGGCGACGCGGAATTTCAAAGGAACATCTGTCAGAAAAAGTGGTTGAAACGATACTCCATGAATCCACACAGCCCAGGACCAGCGTCACACATTGTTAAAAGCCAAGAAGTCTTTCTTGGTAGCCAGATCGTCGTCTCTTGCTGCAAAATTGTTTTTTTTCCAGCTTGTTTAGATGCGTCGCCTACATTCTCGACGCGCTCCTGCGGGAAGCATATCCTGAGTCATTTGGGGTATCCTCCATGCCGCAAATGTCTCAACAGTTGCACGCACACCTTCACAATGCTTTAGAAGACTTGCGCCTAGGGCAGTCTAGCCAGGACTCAATCGGATTTTTCACTTCGATGCCCGGAGAGGATGGTTGACAACTATCGCCAATTCCATGGCAACTCACAGCCCGTTTGCTTCACGATGTTTCCGTCTGAGAAGAATGTCAAACAACGTGTGTTCTGCGGCTGCAAGCGTGCTCTGAAAGGAGAGCGCGAGTCATACCTTTGGATGATGTTCCAGCTCTGTGCGAGCTATCCCTCCGGAGTTCAGTATTTCAACAGGTACGTGGCCCAGCCATAGCAAGCCAAATAAGCCCAACTCTGGTAAATGCAGTGGTCTCGAGAGAAGAACAACGCTGGATTGACAACAATCGGCCATGGCTTGTGAGACACCGACGCCTAGGCAGATATGTAGATAATCGACTGGTGTCTGCTTCCATTCAACTGTTTCAAACCCCGCATGTGCAAGCACCTTGCGCTCTCAATGTTTACAAGTCGCCAGTGGAGCTAGAGGTTGCTGACGGGCAATTCCTAGGCAACATGTTTGATCCTACACGACAGCAGCTGGCGCCATTTTGATTTTGTTAACCGATCAAAGAGCTCACGTGACTGAAGGAAAGCAAGTCACTGTTGGTACCCCGAATGGGGCGACGTGTGTGTGTGTGTGTGCACCCTCTGATGGCAAAGAGAAACCGCAAAACAAAAAAACAGCCTTGGACGCAGCCAGTCGCCTTGAGACATGGCAGCGGAGACCGTTGTTTGAGCTGCAGGAGCATTGTGACTTGGCAGGGAAAGGTGCGTGTATGGGTGTAGTCCGGCTCATCAAAAAACACTCCGCAAACACCACCTTTGGCGCAGCAGGGGGCAAAGGAGGCCCATAGAGCTCTGCCCAACGAAGCTCTCTATACTGGGTCTAGTCAACCCAGTGTACCTGCCGCGCCAACTTCGAACTTTAGTGTGTGTGTGTGTGGCACTTTGGGGACTTCTCTGGAAGCAATCGCAACGTCCGATCGGCTCCTCAGAGGCGCCAGCACCTCTTTCCAGCTCACACCATTTGCAATGGCCATGAACAGGCTTAGCATCGTATCACCTGGCAAGCGATTGAAATGTGTGGCTCACTGCGTGGCAGCGCAAGTAAGACTTCAATAGGGTAGGCAAAGCAAGCCAGCACTTCAAGATTTTGTGTGATCTCAATGCAGCGCTTGGCTGCACAAAAGAAATGGGAAGCCGTAAAACAGAAACAAGGCAGAACAACTGGCAAACTTGTTTGAACCATCAACCGCTAGCATCATCTCCAGCCTAGGGAGGCAAAGTATTTCATTGCAAGCTCTTCCTCGTCGCTGCTCATCGATGAACTTTCGTCCCGTAAAAAGTCATTGACTGCCTGCCTTAAAGCAGCGAGACACGTGTCAACCTTTCTGACATGCTTGTTCCGCACCAACGATGCTGCTACGGCGCGTGAACAGCACTGCGAATACATACACGATGGTGGCCAGCAGCATTAACGCCCAAAACAGGGACTTCAACCTCGGCTTGACACGATGAGTTTAGCACAACGCTCAGAATTCGTACTCACATCATTGTACATTGTACTGTCCTCTCACTCCCTCTCATCTCATCAGCCTGAAATGCAAAAGGCAAGAACTGAACAAGGCTGCAAAAGGGGGTAATGCTGGACCGAGCAGTGGCAAAGGCATGCATGAATGAAACGCCACAGCAAGCTTAGCGCAGTACAGGACACAAAGGGCCTGTCAAAGACGTCGCAAAATGCAATGATTGGTGCAATGGAGTTGCACAAGGAAATGCAAACATCTACAAATCTCATCCTTGTCAGGGACAGGTGATCCAACAAGTCGGTGAGACTTGATTGTCCAACACTCAAAGCCTCAAAGTGGAAGCCATCTCTCAAACATATCCACATGGGCACCATATTCAAGGTCACTGGACATCAATTCTTGGCCGCCCCTCAAAGTCAGGACCAGGAACGTGTCTGCTATGGAGGCAATCAGGGTCCGGAAGGCCAAAACAAAGCGAAAGACTCGCATCAGGCGAACCACCTGCGCAGGAGTCAATGTTCATGCTGTCACCGCGCGCGGTGGGGAAACCCTTGATATTGACGGACTTGAAGTTAACACCTTATTTGGTGAATCTAAGTTCTGTTTTAACGTGTTTAAGCGCGCCAGATTTCTCTGCATACTTTCTTTAGACCATCGCACTTAGAATGTAAACGATGGTCATTTTCTTGGGATTAGTCTAAAGCCACCGCAGAGGCTCAAGTTGAAACATTGTTGCACGCTGCGTTCCGTGAGGTGTTGCTTCCTTACCAAGGCTGAATAACTATGCGGCAGTGACTTGGGTTGCATGGCGGGATTTGACTCTGGTACGACTTTAAGCTTACCCAGCCGCCTGTTCTAACTCTTGATGCCGTCGCTTGCGACTGGGCGCAACGGCTCTTGTTGACAATCTGAGTCAGTCTGACGAGCCCAGATTATTATCCAGCGCTCGGACTGTATTCGAGAAGAGTTTGAGGAGGACCTGAGAAACTGCCTCAAAGTATGTTAGGACAGCTAGGTATCAATCTGCTGCCAATGATTGCTTTACCAGTTTGTTGCCGCCTGAGGTCAGTCGAAAGGAAAGATATTGCGTGCAGCATTCGAGGCAAGGCATTCCTAGAGTATCATGTGCGGCAGTTTTGTTTCCTCCCGCTTGAAATGTCCGGACCCACCAAATCGCACCGTGCTTTGCAAGCGGGATACGCTATGACGCCAGGGCTGGATATAACTTTCTGTAATAGTCTACAGTTGATCAGGATCATCCCCATACTTTGCGAGAGTCGTTCCCGCCTTCACGATCCGAGTGATTCGCACAATGCGAAATGCCTTAAAGCTGCTCATTCCTTCAACCTGGCTCACACTTTCATTCTGAAAGGCAATCAGAATGTCAGCTGCCACATCCCAAAGGGATGTCAGCCTCAGCTAGTAAGCCAGCAAACTAAGCATGAGTCGGCATGCTGAGCGAGGCAATGACATGTGCTGTGCAAACTAGGCAAAACTATGTCAAGACACAAAATTTAGGCCTTCAATATGCTGCTTGTCTGGCCAAGAAGCACCACGAAAAGATCCAATATGCTCCACATCCAGTCATCTGAAAAGAAGAAACTGTAGCACCCCTCCGCCAGAATGCGCAAGGTGAGCTCCAGCAGGAACCAGGCGGCATAGCAATGTGGAATCACTTGCGTGAACAACGGCAACTCGGCCGGAGCGTGGCTGCGTCGCACTTCCACATCAATGCCCAGGTAGAGGCAATTGCTGACAACCACGAATGCGCACACCAGGTCGAAGGCGTTGTTCTTCACAATCCTCAAAATTGGCCATGCTCTCAGCACACTGAACACTGCACACCAAATAATATGGACACTTAAAGCCACTAGACGTTAGTGTTAAGAAACGATCACGACATGGTACCTCGATTATCATTTCAGCGCAGCAAGTCATGATGAAGAAGTCATGCCTAGCTCTCATTCAAGACGGACGACATACATCTCGATGTAAGGCTTATGCAATGAGATCAATTTCCGGGCTTGCATCGGGTTGCTCCTTTCTTTGACGCACAACTTGCGGTCCTCTGAGCAAAAAGAGCCGAACTTTGCTTGCCCGACCTGCAAGGCGCTGCAAGGCTAGGCGGTTGCAGCAAGAATGTGTCATTGGAATGCAATCATCTCGTTTCCGAAACGGAGCTGGAGGTATTGCGGCAGTGCCCCAAGCTTGAGACACTCACGAGCCTCTTTGTCGCAAAGCGCGACCGAGCCCTCATGGCATCTCTTGCATACGCAATCTCCTGCACTTCCAGACTTGAATGGCATAGCATGCATAGCCATAGCCAACATGACACCCACCACCAAACATTTCAAGGTCATGGGACATGAGGCCCGCGCTAACACCTCTTGGATAGGAAATGCTGCCTGAGAAGCACACGATACGGGCCCTTATGACAGGTGCACAACTGTTTGCTTCGTTCTTTGATTTTTGATTTCGGGCTATCGTATTAACAAAGTCAATGCCCCTCTCCTGCAGTGCCTCTTCTTCGCGTTCAAATGTGCCTGGGTTCGACAATGCAGACTGCGCACGTGCAATTGCCCTAGCTTGTCAACCAATGACAATGCCAGCCATTTCTCTCAAAGTAGGACTTGCTGCTTGAAGGCAAGGCGATCTTAATAAATGAACATGGGCAAGCTACGTTGGTGACAGCCAAAACATGTCTTGCGTACAGGAAACGATCCCGTCCCTGCTTCAAACAACTACAATGACAACAAAGAGAGGTACAAATAGCTTTTACATGCCCTTGTTGGACGATGACATTGACAACCACGTCTGCACGTTGGCTGTGCACTAGGGCACGGCAAGCTATACGGGGGGACCTGCACACCACACACCATTCACCTTCTCCTTGGAAAGCCAAGTCAAATGTCAAATGCATGCATCCCTCGAGACATGCTGGAAGAATAAAACGATATGGCCATGGTTCCTTTGGGCAAACCCAAATCCAGCAAAGACGAAACAAAACACTAGTTTGGAGATGCGAAGTGGCAAATTGCCAGCGACGGGAACCAACGCAGCTTGAATCTGGAACTGGGATCATGCAAGCGAGAAGCTGAAGAACTTTCCCAAGCCTGATCGCCGCTTGGATCCTTGGGCTTCTGCTTCCGCTTCCGATGACATGCTGCTGGCCGGAGTATCCTGCGCGGTTTGAGAACACGGTCCAAACATGTTGTCGATTGCTGGTCGCATTGGTTGCAAAAGCCGGCAGCCCGCGTTGCATGCCGACCCTGCAGGCTGCGCGGCCATGAGCACAATAATATACCCCCTACGCTACAGGGGGCTTGGGTGAGGGCCCCTCCTAATTCATCAAAATAATTCCGTCTGGGTACCCCTGAGTGTCAATTCAACGCGTTGTCAGTAGTTCAATCGTTCTTTGCGTAAATCCGCCGACCCCTTTCTCCAAAGGGGAGGCGCATGGGAAGGGTTTGTCTTTGTCCTTGTCTTAATCATGATTATCATCACCACTGCATCCGGATCGTCATCATGATTATCATAATCTTCATCATGTTCATCATCATCATCATCATGTTCATCATCATCGTCATCATCATCATTTCATCATCATGTTCCTCATTATGTTCATAATCATCACTGCGCATCCTCAGCATCACCAGCAGTTCACGTCATCACTAGCACCAAAAGCGTGGCGCTCTTCTTTGTGCGCCGTTCGACCCGATTGGAAATGCAGAAGATGCGTTGTCATGATTGTCGATGATGATGATGATGGTCATGTGATGAACATATCATGTTTGTTCCTCATCATGTTCATCATCATCATCATCATCCTGACGAAAATCACTGCGCATCCTCAGCATCACCAGCAGTCAACGTCATCACTATGCATCCCCAGCATCAGCAGCAGTTATCATGAGCATCCTCTACATTTCCAGTCGGGTCTGACGGCACACTTGAAACGTTTTTTAAAAAGAAGAGCACCACGGTTATGATGAACATGATGAGGAATGAAAATGATGATGAACGCCACTCATCATCACATCATGCTGATGATAATCATCACTACGCATCCTCAGCATCACCAGCAGTTAACGTCATCACTATGCCAGCATCATCAGCAGTGATCATGACAATCATGACAACGCATCGTCTGCATTTCCAGTCGGGTCTAACGACACAATTGCAACAAATATGAAAAAGAAGAGCGCCACGGTTTGGATGATGAACATGATGAGGAACATGATGATGAAAATGATAATGGTGATGAACATGATGATCATGATGATCATGATGATGAACATGATGATGAGATGATGATGAACATGATGATGATGATGATGATGATGATGATGATGATGACACCATTTTCATGTCCATCATGTTCATCATCATCATCATCAACAACATCAATCATCATCATGTTCCTCATCATGTTCATCATCAAAACCGTGGCGCTCTTCTTTTTCATATACGTTTCAAGTGTGCCGTTAGACCTGACTTGAGATGCAGGGGATGCGTAGTCATGATTGTCAAAATAACTGCTGGTGATGCCGGGGGTGCATGGTTCCATCACCATCACCATCTGATTGCATCCGCAGGTGTTCCTAACGGCTTACTTCTCGGCATCACCAGCAGTTGTTCTGATAATTATGACAACGCATTCCCTGCATCTCAAACAAGCCACTGCGGGATAAATTCGCATGATAATAAGCACGTTCGGCGGCAACTGCGAATCATAACTGCTGGCGATAATGCGAATGCATAATGCCTCATAGATAGTAATAATCATCAGCATCCCTAATGTTGGGTAAAAAATGCATCATCAAAAACATCATCATTATCGTGCTGCTCTTCTTTTTCATATATGCTTTGCTTTAAGTGTGCCGTTAAACCCGACAAAAATGCGTAGTCATAATTGTCATAACAACGTCCCCTGTCAGCAAGCAGGGGCCGGCGGCACAGGGCGGCAAATCCTGCTACGCCTCCTGAGGTAGCATGTCGCCGCTAGGCAATTAGCCTGCTAGCCTTAGCTATAGGGGCTGCACCCTGGTGCCGCTGGCCCTCGCCACTTGGTCGGAGGGATATAAGCGAGGCTCATTTTCTGGCATTTTGGCGCCAAGCGTTGCTGGGCATGCCGGCGATGCTGGGTCCTCGCTCTACAAAACGCTGTAAATACCGTCAAAAACTGCTGTGCTGAGCGGCGGGCTGTTGTTCTGTCCGTTCTGCTTTTGCTGTGGCTGGCTCGCGTGCTGCGCAGCCCTTGCTTTTTTCCCGTTGGTTTTCGGGCCTTCTGGCGCGCGCGCGACCCCAGCCACCAAACGCTGCTATTTACGGTGTTGTGTTGCATTTGCGTTTCCGGGCTGGCTTGCGGGCTGCTCTTTTTGGGCTGCGCTTTCTGGGGCCTCTGGCGCGCGCACGTCAGCCTTCTGGGTTGGAAAGCTGGCATCCCCGGCATCCTCTGGGGTTGGGGTGGGCAACATGCATAACCCAACCAGCCATATCATAGCACAGGATACGTTTCTCATACAAACAACATGACATGACATGGTATAACTTCAAAGAGGCGTAGCCGGCTAGAGGCCGCAGGCCCAGAAAATAAAGTGCAATACCCAAAAAATACCAATCAATTGAGAGTACCGCTGGCTATTCTTAATCGATTTTGATTTGGTACTCAACGACATGCCTAATTGATTTCAAAGTCATGGCAAACAAACACTAAAACAAGTTCACATGTTTGAGTGGTGAGATTATTCAACCTAGGGGGCGCCACCCTTCAATTAACACGTTGGCACACCCACAGACTTGGCAATTTGCGCAGCGCGTGAGCAAAAGAGGCAGACGTTGGCGTTGCCTGGGGACATAGGTTTGGCAAACAGCATGAGCAAGCCAAAGCGACGATTCCGGCACAATGTTCCAACGCTATCTGTCACTGTGCTGCGGCTTAGGATGTTCAACGCCCGCTTGCAATGCGTTGCTCGCATAGCATCTATGCAGTTCCCGGATCACCCGCTTCATCTGTTAGCTGCGCTTGCGCGTCTTTTCTTTGGCGACACAGGTACTTGGTTCTCTTTGGGAGCTTGTCAAGGCTACGGCAAGGCTTGCGTGCCAGCGCTCATCATCGGGGGAGGCTACCAGTCAAGCAGCGATCGTGATTCAACGCAAGCCCAAGTGACACAGTGATCATGGTGCCCCCGCAAGCTTGGTCGTCTTACAAGAGGCGTTGCGACTAGGCTGGGCTCCACACGCTCAAGCAGTTGAAGTACAGCGAGAAGCAGCGATCTTCTTGGAAAGCCGTGGGCAATCGGATCGGGGACAAGACGGTTTCGCAGAGCCGTCTGATGTGGAGCCGAGTGAAGCCGGGAGTCTCGATCGCCCGATTGCAAGCGTCCCTTCATTTCTCAGCCCAACTTTGGCCTATGTGCGTGCAAACCATCTTGGATCACAGGGGCACGTTCCTAAGGAGACGTCAAGCTTTTGCTTCCTGATGTCTCCTGTGCTTGGGTTGTTAGTTTGCACGTCGAACATGACGGCTTCGGAAATCTGTGTGGTGTGTCTGTGCGCGTGTCTCTGTTTGTGTGTGTCTGTGTCTGTGTCTCTGTGTGTCTGTGTGTCTGCGTGTCTCTGTGTCTGTGTGTCTGTGTCTGTGTCTGTTTGTGTGTCTGGATGTCTGTGTGTCTGGGTCTCTGTGTCTCTGTGTCTCTGTGTCTCTGTGTCTCTGTGTCTCTGTGTCTCTGTGTCTCTGTGTCTCTGTGTCTCTGTGTCTCTGTGTCTCTGTGTCTCTGGGTCTCTGTGTCTCTGTGTCTCTGTGTCTCTGTGTCTCTGTGTCTCTGTGTCTCTGTGTCTCTGTGTCTCTGTGTCTGTGTGCCTGTGTGTCTGTGTCTGTCTGTGTGTCTGTGTGTGTGTGTCTGTGTGTGTCGTGTGTCTGTGTGTGTGTCTGTGTGTGTGTGTGTCTCTGTGTGTGTGTCTCTGTGTGTGTGTGTCTGTGTGTGTCTGTGTGTGTCTGTGTGTGTCTGTGTGTGTCTGTGTGTGTGTCTGCGTGTCTCCGTTTCTGGGTCTCTGTTTCTCTGTGTCTCTGTCTTGGTGTCTGCGCGGGTCCTCGTTGTACTCCGCTTGCCTAGGCAGGCATTGGGTAAAGAAGTCATCCCCGGCTTCTCACACTTCAAGGTCCGGCCCATTTTCCCGCTTGTCGACGACATCAAGCGGGTTCTGGCCCCGTACCATATTGCTGGTGTGGACTTGCCATCCACAAGCGATGGCTGCAGCCAACCCGTTTTGCCCGCTCGCAGCAACACTGTGCGCGAGCGACTTCGAGGCAGGGCGTGTTGAGAGCTTCTTTTCCTGGTCTCTTTTTGGTTTGCCCCCCAGCCCCCAGCTGTGTGTTGGTTTTTTTAGGCGTTTGTGGGGCTTGGTTGGTTGTCGCTTTTAATTGTCCCTAACCAATTTATGGGGTCTAGATTCATGGGGTCTAGATTTGGGTGGTTTTTGGCTATCTCATTTTTTCTCGAATTATCTCGAAGAGGTAGGTCAGGTTGAAAGCAACTTGCATTTTTGAAATTTGGTTTTGCATTTTTGTTGCTTTTTGACATGTGTGTGTTCAGGAATGCCGTTCTCGATTATCTCGAGGATGTAGGCGAGGTTGAAGGCAACTTGCTTTTTTTGGCATTTGGTTTTGCATTTGTTGTTGCATTCACGTGTGTGTGTGTGTTCAGGAGTGCCGTGCATTATGTTTTGACAAACAACGCAAACAACACAAACAACAAACAACAAACAACAAACAACAAACAACACAAAACAAACAACAAACAACAAACAACGCGCAACAAACAACAAACAACAAACAGCAAACAGCAAACAACAAACAACAAACAACAAACGCAACACACACACACACGACTACCACAACAAACGCAACAAACACAACAAACACAACACACACACAACAAACGCAACAACAGCAACAGCAACAACAACATCACCACCACCACCACCACCACCACCAACAACAACAGCAGCAGCAGCAGCAGCAGCAAAAGCAACAGCAACAAACAACATCAAACAACTAACAACAAACGACAAACAACAGACAACAATCAGCACCCAGCAATCAACTAACAACACGCAAAAACAACAACTATTACCACTACAACAACAACTGCATCTACAACAGCAACCACCACTACAACTACAACTGCGACTACAACTACAGTTGCAAGTGCAACTACAAGAAACGACGACTACAACTACGATTGCGACTACAACTATAACTACAACTACAACTACAGCTGCAATTACAACTACAACCACAGCTACAACTACAACTACAGCTGCAACTGAAACTACAACTGCAACTACAAGTGGAATCCCCGCTACAACTACAACTACAACTGCAACTACAACTACAACTGCAACTACAACGACAACTACAACGACAACTACAAGTACAACTACAGCTACAACTGCAACTACACCACCGCCACAAACAACAACACAACAAACGAACAAACAAACAAACAGACAAACAAACAACAAACACAAAACAACAAACAACAAACAACAACCTCCAAACAACACACAACAAACAACAGCAAACACCAAACAACAAACAACAAACACAAACATACCAACAACCAACAACGAGCAACAAAACAAAAACAAACAACGAACATTGAAATACCAACAGCCAACAACAGTAGTGCATGGGCACACGCGCGGCTTGGGGGGGGGGGGCGTCGGCCATTTTTGGGCGGTCGCTTTCGAGCCTCACGTGCCACTTTGGTGGCATGCGCTAGAATGAACAACGATCTCAAGTTATTTCAAGGTACATGTGTTTATCTCAATCGATTTTAGACGCTCGCTTCAAACCCTATCTCAAGTTATCTCGTTTCATCTCAATACAGGTTATCTCAAACGTTCACCCTAAACTCTACCTCAAAGCATCTCTCCCAAACCCAACAAGCCATTGAACCCTTGCCGACGAGGTTTGAAGGGTGGGCTCGTTTGAGGTTTCCGAGGCCCCAAGGAATTTTAAACGAGCCCGCCCAGTTGTTCCACGTCACAAAGTGTATCAAAGTATCCCAAATTATCTCAAATTATCTCAAATTAACGCAAATTAACGCAAATTATGTCAAATTATCTCAACACACTCGCCCAGACTCTATCTCAAAATATTTCAAATAATGTCAAATTATCTCAAAACACTCACCCAGACTCTATCTCAAATTATTTCAAATACTCTCAAATTATCTCAAAACACCCACCCAGACTCTATCTCAATCTCAAATTATCTCCAAATTATCTCAAATTTTCTCAAATTATCTCAAAGTTATCTCAAATTATATCAAATTATCTCAAAACACTCACCCAGACTCTATCTCAAATTATCTCAAATTATCCCAAATTATCTCAAATTATCTCAAATTATCTCAAAACACTCACCCCAGACTCTATCTCAAATTATCTCAAATTATCTCAAACTATCTCAAAATTATCTCAAATTATCTCAAATTATCTCAAACTATCTCAAATTATCTCACATTATCTCAAATTATCTCAAATATGCATGTGACATGAAGTGAGCTGAGATATTTTGAGATGGCTTTCCCGAAAAGTGGCGGGCATAGACTGTGAACAAGCTGAAAGCTGAGACTCTTTGAGGTAAATTTGTTAAAAAGTGGCGGGGGCATACCAAGAATGAGTTGAGACTTTTTGGACACTCGGATATAGCTTTGTTAAGCAGCTTTGGGCCCACACAGTCAACAAGCTGAGCACGTTGAGGCACTTTGAGATAAACTCGCCAAAAGGTTTTTTAATTTTGAGGGAATCTTGATGGAATGTTTAGGGATTTCAGGGAGTTGTGCGGGAATCTTGCCGGAAGTTCAAAGGAAAATTGAGGTGATTTTGAGAGGATGTTGAAGGACTTGTGTGGGAATTGCGCGGCAATTATGAAGGACATTTGCAGGAATGTTGAGGTGTTTGTTTGTATGTTGATGGGATGTTGATGGGGTTTTGATGGAATTTTGATGGAATGTTGTTGGGATTGTGAGGGAAGTGTACTGGATTTTCGAGGGGAACGCGCTGGGATTTTGAAGGAAATGTGATTGAGGTGAACGTGGAGGGAATTTTGATGGGATTTCGAAAAAGGCCTCGCGGGATTTTTGATGGAATTCCGAGGGAATTGTTGAGGGAATTGTTGAGGGAGTTCTGAGGGAATTGTGAGGGAATTGTGAAGGAATTTTGAGGGAATGGGGAGGGCAATTTCGGAGCCTTTTCGTCAATGATTGATATTGACAAAGGGTATTACTGCAAGCAGAACAATTGGGTCTAACTGTTGCTAATGCGAACGCACAAGGGTAAACAACAAACACAACACACACACACACGACTAACACAACAAACACAACACACGCAACAAACACAGCGTACACAACAAACGCAACAACAGCAACAACAGCAACAACCGCAACAACAACAACAACAACAACAACAACAACAACAACAACAACAACAACAACAACAACAACAACAACAACAACAACAACATCACCACCACCACCACCACCACCGCCAACAACAACAACAACAACAACAACAACAACAACAACAGCAGCAGCAGCAACAGCAACAGCAACAGCAACAAACAACAAACAACAAACAACAAACAACACCCAGCAAACAACTAACAACACACAAAAACAACAACTACTACCACTACTACCACTACAACAACAACTGCAACTACAACAACAAGTGCAACAACAACTACAACTGCAACTACACCTACAGTTGCAAATGCAACTACAAGAAACGACAACTAACTACAACTGGAACTACAACAACAACTACAACTACAACTACAACTGCAACTACAAGTGCAACTGCAAGTTGAAGCCCAACTACGACCGCAACTACAACTGCAACTACAACTGCAACTACAACTAGAACCATCACTACAACTACAACTACAACTGCAACTGAAGCTACAACTACACCACCACCACAAACAACAACAAAACAAACAAACAAACAAACAAACAAACAAACAAACAAACCAACCAACCAACCAACAAACAAACAAACAAACAAACAAAACAGACACACACAACAAACAAACCAACAAACAAACAAACAAACGTACAAACAAACAAACAAACAAACAAACAAACAAACAAACACAAACAAACAACAAACAGCAAACACAAAACAACAAACAACAAACAACAACCTACAAACAAACAACAACAAACACCAAACAACAAACAACAAACACTAATATACCAACAACCAACAACCAGCAACAAAAAGACAACACCCACACGCACACACACCAGGCCCTTCTCAGACAACATATTTTTACCAACGGATTTGGAGGCCTCATCGTGCATTTTTGTAGAATTATGGGATTCATTGTTGTCATCATAATTTTTGGTGCTTGCCATGCCCGACATTCATTTTGATGTTGCTTTTTGCATTTCTTGCAGTTTGTGGCATTAGTTTGTTGATTTTGTTGTTTTTGCACTTCGTGCACGATGTTTGCATAATTGTTGTGTTTGCATGCTGTTTTGCACTTTTGTGTGTGTGTTGCCTTTGTTTTTTTGTTTTTTGCATTTGTTTTGCATTTTGTTGCATTTGTTTACACTTCGCAGGTTTTTGCACTTTTTGGCACTTGTTGGCACTTTTTTGCACTTTTTTGCATGTTTTTGCATGTTTTTGCATGTTTTTGCACTTTGTTGCATTTTGTGCACATTAGATGCAAAAATAAGATAATTTTGAGATAATTTGAGATAATTTGAGGTAAGGTCTAAACCCCATAGATCTGGGACCCCTAATTACATTAATGAAATTGATCTCGGCCACCGCGACGCGGTCATGATTGTTTGGATTCACACTGCACATCGAAACTTGGCTGTGGCGACACGAGTCACGCCCTGTAAGGGCTAGGGATGGCCTCTTCCCCCTCTTGCTCTTCAACTTCGCGGTGGTCTCAGTCCACAAGGCTTCGGACGTTTTGCGTCGCTTGGGGTTGCGGCCCTCGTCGGAGACCCTAAATCTGGGACCCTGTAGTTCCTGTTTCTCGGTGGGGAAATTGCCCGCGGTGACCCAACCTGGAGTCTGTTTGCTTTGTTTTGGTTTGCGTCGCTCTTCTTCTTCTTCTTTTCCGTTGGGACTTCGCCCCTACGGGGGCCTGTGTGAGCAGAGCTCTTGATCTACCCAGGAATGCCAGAACCTCACTCTCGGAATACGGCAAAGGTGCATGCCGGGAATCGGTGGCACCGGTACCACTTGCGGTTGCCGCGCGGGGCGGCCTCCCATCTGGCCGAACCTGGGCTGCCGCACCTTGGACACGTGCTGTAATCCGAGGGCAGCGCAGGCGGGCAGGGAGGGACCTGAGCCACCACGGCGGGGGATGGGTAGTCTGATCAACTACCTGTGCCTGCAATTGTGGCACAAAGTCCTCTCCTGCTTTGTGTGCTTCATGTTGGGCCTTGCAACGGTTTCGGCTCTGGAGAGAAGCCATCCCACGTGCAACTTAGCCTGTTTCACTCGAAAGACACCCACTCGAAACTGAGATCACCTCTCCTCCTGCAACCATTTACGTGTGTCTGTGTGAGTGTCTGCGTCTGACTCTGCGTCTGTGTGTCTGTGTCTGTGTGTCTATGTCTGTGTGTCTGTGTCTGTGTCTGTTTGTCTGTGTCTGTGTGTCTCTGTCTGCGTCTGTGTGTCTGTGTCTGTGTGTCTGTGTCTGTGTGTCTGTGTGTCTTTGTGCGTGTCTCTGTGTGTGACTCTGTGTGACTGCGTGTGCGTGTGCGTGTGCGTGTGCGTGTGATTGCGTGTGCGTGCGCGTGTGCGTGTGCGTGTGCGTGTGCGTGTGCGTGTGCGTGTGCGCGTGCGTGTGCGTGCGCGTGTGCGTGTGCGTGTGCGTGTGCGTGTGCATGTGCGTGTGCGTGTGCGTGTGGGTGTGGGTGTGTGTGTGTCACAGACACACACACAGACACACACACACAGACACACACACACACAGACACACACACACAGACACACACACAGACACACACACAGACACACACACAGACACACACACAGACACACACACAGACACACACACAGACACACACACAGACACACACACAGACACACACACCTACACACACACAGACACACACACAGACACACACACAGACACACACACAGACACACACACAGACACACACACAGACACACACACAGACACACACACAGACACACACACAGACACACACACAGACACACACACACACAGACACACACACAGACAGACACACACA